TTTACTTTCTAATATTTTATTTTGGCGTGTGTACGTGCTGATGAAAGATGTGACAAAATTCTACCCCAATGCAGAATATAGAACATGTGTTAGACACTTACATTCAAATTTTAAGACTGATGATCATCATAAGGTTGAAGAACCAAATGTGGATGTCTGTTAGGGCAACATATGTTGGGGAGTTTGAATCTTCCATAGAAGGAATGGAGGTATATTTTATGGTATAAGTATATTATTTTACATATGTTTATGTTGATGAAGATTATAACCAATTTAAAATTTTCATGCAGCTTTTATTAGGAACAACACGTAAGTGGTTGTCAAAGAAATATCCTAAACAATTTTAAGTCTCAATTCTCTTTCAAAGCCAAGTCAGAGATGCTATTAAACAATCTTTTCTAGTGTTTCAATAAGGTGAATTTAACAAAACATTTATATTTAAAAAATACATTTTTATGTAATTTAATATTTTTAATTTTGTGATTAGTTAATACTTGAAGCTAGAGAAAAACCAATTATTACATTGATGGAGTCCATTAGAAAAATGTTGATGCAAAGACTTACAGAAAAAATGATCAAGCTAATAAGTTTTTTGGGCTTCTATGCCCTAAAATTCAAAGAAACTATGCAATATCACAAGTAAATAGGTATAACTTGTTAGTGTGCATATTGTTAATGCTTATATATTCTTCAGGAAACTTGTTATTGCATATTGCTAATGCTTATATATTTTGAGGAAGCTTGTTATTGCATGTGGTTAATTCTTATATATCTTTGTGTTGTACAGTTGTTGGCCCATTCATGCTTGTGGATCAATGTTCCAAGTTTCATGTGGTCCTTCATATCAATATTATGTTAACATTGAAACTAGAAGTTATTCTTGTAAACAATGAGAAATAACATGTAACTTAATGTTTTATTAATATAATGCTCATTTATTTTTTCTATATTTTTATAATTACTAATTGTTTTTTAATGCAAGCATTCCTTGTATCCATGCAATTTTTGTTATTGTCATTTATCATGAAAGGCCAAAAACGTTTGTCGACCAAAGTTATTATGTGAAAACCCAAATGGACGTATACTCACATCGGATCAACTCGATAAGAAGTCCTAATCAGTGGACTCCTATTGAAACAATGGAGTCTATTCTACCACTACCTTGAGAAGGCCCCCAAGAAGTCCACACAAGAACATAATAAGGGAGGCTGATGAAGCACCACCTCAGACTGGTAGGGTGACAAATAGGGGAGTTAAAATATCCTGTAAGAGGTGTGGGAGGTCTGAACATAATGTCAGAACATGCAAGGGTCAAGTAGGTCATAATACTAGGCCCCTCCAACAAACATCTGCTGCAAGAAGATCAAAACTGCCGGTAAGTAATACTTGAGATATTTGTTTTTGTAATTGAGTTTGATTTTGATTACAATTTAGAAGATCAAATCAAGTTTTCATGTAAAATCAAACAACCAGTTCAAGGTCACAACAACTTGCACAGATCCATATTGTTAGATGGACGCCCACTCTTGTTGTACCAACAACCACCTTCACAAGGCTATACTATAAGATGGATGCCCACTTCCACTGTCTACGCGAGTCAGGATACTTCTGTCAGCCAATCGTCTTCAGAAAGGCATAAGAATGATACTTCTACTAGCTAGACATCTCCACAAGTATAGACATTTTGTTTGATGTTTTTTGAGTAGTGCATTTGATTATATACATTTGAGAATAGTATTTTGATTAGTTGATTCTGTTAGATTTTGTGGTGATAGTTGAAGATTATATATACTTAAAGAATTGATCTGAAAATGTCTTTTTCTGTTTATGTGTATTGTTTAAATATGTGATGTATGCCATATATTGGTCTAGAAATGAATGCAATGATTTTTTTGTATGTTTTCTTTCCTTAATTCTTAAAGCATTTCGTAAGACAAATTTAACTCACAAATTTAATATTTCATCTCATTAATACTTAAATCATAACATTGACACAACAAATTACGTACATAGCATCCTCATAACATTTTAACACAAATCTATAATTCATAAAATGTTGTTAACACATAGCATAATATTACCCTAAATCACCCCCACAAAGAAGACAACAAAAGAAGATAACATAATTAAGTGATTATAATTTCTCACTCCCACAAAGAAGACAACAAGAGAAGTAAAAATTCAATGAATTTTAAGCTTACTTTATTCATACTCCATTGCTCCAATCCTTCTTAGAAGACCAACAATGATAGTTTTTTACTGATAATTTACTTATGCATTTTTTACAGATAATTTACTTATGGATCATACCAGCAAAAAAATATGCAAAACCTAACCCCTTTTTTATAATCTCCACAACCCCAAAACCTCCCATCAGGATTTTTTTCGGTCTAGCCTATTGTTACCGTCAAACTAACTCCACAGAAGCACAACTGATTCTCACTTTCTGCATCCATGTTTCGATTTCAGTTTTCTCTTCTTCTTTCTTCACTTTACTCTTTGTTTCTTCTATTTTAACAACCACTTTAGAGTGTTTAGAATAGAGGAAATTTTGAAATAAGGGGATTAGTGTTACTTTAAATAACAATAGAGAGACCATTTTTTTCTTATGTGGCATTATGACGTGATCTTATTCATATCCAACATTGCAATAAAAAGTTTATTAAAAATATACATTGGATGAACCATTAGTTTTATAACGAAGAGTGACTTGATTGGACCATTTAAAAAGGTTGGTGACCTGTTTGATCAAATTAAGATATTGATAGTCAAAATGATTTTTGACCATAGTTTAATGGTCACCCGTATAAAAAAAAAGGTTGTCTCTTATTCCCATATGTAATGGGGTAAGGGGGAAGTAAGATAGTAGGCTCCCCCAATACTAGGTTGAGAGCAGCTTCCGTAGGAGACCTCCGAATTATGAAATGCCCTCCATAGTATTCAGTTATGTTAGCTCCAATTGGATCAATTTACAACCATCAATCAACAGTTTAATATATTAATAATATATTGCAATAATAATTAATGAACGTAGCACATCAGAAAGCCAACAGATTTATACAAATTTAATATTACTGTTTTTGTTTTTCTTTCGGTTTCAAGACTTCGCTTGATTAATTCAGATCGATCTGCATCACACTCTTAATTTTCATGAGTAAGTTTTCTAGTAGGAATTTTCTATATACACAACAGTTTGAATTCAATATCTTACTTAAACGATATCAAACTTCTTATCACTTTGAATCAACCCGTGTTAGTTAATATTATATTTTTAAATAATAAAATTTTTAATTTAAACTTTTATTAATCTAACGACAACACATTTGTTTCAATTATATATCATAATCTTATCTCTATCAATCAAGATATTGACATTTCAATAATAATGTTACATTCTATGAATGAATCTTCTTCAATTACTGATAATGGAGATTAAAATTTTTAATATTTTTCTTAATAAAACTTTTTTTACTGTAATCTCAATATTCATTTTCTATATAACAGTATGTAACTATATCCTTATTATTCATATATATCAAATCAATGTGTTAATTGTTGAGAATAAGAAATCCCCCAACTGTTTTTTTGGCAAAGAAATATTCATTTTCCGTCTTCATCCATGGTCATTCGCCATTGGAGAGCAAAGGGATGATTATCGAACGAGTTGATCATGGATTACACAGTGTTTGACTCGTACTTGTTAAAAAAAATTGTTGCTCGATTCGACTCGTGGTCATTAAATTCGTTGCTCGTTAGACTCGTTACTCGTCTCGTTGCTCATTAAGTTCACCAATTTTTTTTTTAACTATAATAAAATCTACTAATACTATATACAACTTAATATAAACGTAAATTGATAAATTTAACAAAAAATTATCACGAGTGTATGAAACAAATTCAAAGTTTAACCACCAAAATAAAAATCCACAAATACACTAAAATAATAATTAAGGTTTAATTTTGGGTGTAGTAAAATAATAATTATTAATTAATAATTTAGTATTTTTATTAGAAAATTAATAGATTAATCATTTATTATATGTTAGTAAATCAATAAATTTTTTTAGATAACTAGTAAAAAATTATAAAAAATTAACGAGTTCGACTTTACTCCACTCAGCTCGTTAAGGTCTCGAGTCGAGCTTGAGTTCAAGTCGAATTAACCTTAGTCGAAATTTTATTGAATTTTGATCGAGTAGAGTTCGATCTACTCACAAACTCCTCAACTCATTAAACACCCATAGGAGAGGGTTTCCAACGCTCCCAAAGAAACACCAAGATGAAAAATAACATTGCCAACCCAGTTGAGTTGCACTTGTAGTAATTGAAGTTCAGAATAGGGTTGTAAATGAGACAAGACATATAATGAGTTATTCGAGATCAATCTGGTCAAGACTCGATAAATACTCGAATCGAATGGACTCGACTTGAGTTCTTAACGAGCCGAAACGAGTTACTTGATACTCGAATTGAAAAGCTCGTGAGCAGCTCGAAAATATAATATATTAATATTTTATTTTTTAAAATAAATTATTAATAATATTAACATTTTTGAGTTATTTTTTAAAAAAATATAATAAGGTTTTTATGTATTTAAGGTTGAGGTTCGATTTCAAGTTTGAGTTTTTGGCTTTAATCTAGTTTAAGATTTTTTTTTCATTTTAAGCTTTTATGAGCTTCAATTCATGATTTCAAGTTTAAGTCGAGCATAAAAATTTTAAGTTCATGAATTTTCGAGTTGTGTCAAATTCCATTTTAAAATTTTCGAATAGAATAGAGCTCAACAATAATTGAACTCAACTCGGCTCGTTTATACCCAAACCTGAAAATCAAAAAAAAAAAAAGACCCCAGCGTGTTAAATGCGGCCACGAAGACAAATATACAGCACAAGAGAGCAACTGCTACAACCACCTCAGCAGTAGCAACAACAAATGACCTCAGATACTGCAAAAAAAAAAAAAAAGTGAAATAATTCAATTTAAATCAACCCCCTTCGAATTTTATCTGTTCCAAATTCATTGGGACTCGTGCAAAGCTATAAACTTTCACTTTCTTTACTCTCTGTGGTTGTGCTTCCCAGTTTTATATACCCAGAATGAACCTTGCTTTCATTAAACACTTTCATTTTATCTAATATATATAGTATATTTATTTATATACACACTGCATTTTTTTAACATTAACCCTGTCTTTGTCTCAACAAAATTTAGGGTTTACAATGTGCTCTGCTGCTGCTACAATGTCTCAAGCAGCTCACCGTGGCCATTATAGTTTGCTCTTGCCACTACATTTTCCTCGGAGTTTGTTTTTGCCAAGAAGGTTCTTTCTCCCTCTTTTCTTTCATATTTCTTTAGCTTGTGTGGGGGAAGATTAGTTCTCTCCATTCTTTCTAGTTTTGTTTTTGCTGTGCTAGCTGCTGGGGTTTAAGCTTTTGGGGGGATTCTACTTTTTCTTCGTGTGGGTCTTTTAGCTTACTATCTATTGTCTTTTGCTCCAATTATTACAATGTTGTATGATTCTGCTCTTGTTCCTCTGCAAATCCTTTCTGTTTTTGCTTAAATCTGTGATAACTAAGCAACTAAGGGGACGAATAGAACAATCAGTCAAAATAGAAACTTGAATGTAGATAATTATTTGAAGTTGTGGTGTCAAGGTCTCTCCGGTGGATCGATTCGAATGGTTCAAGCGTTTAAATTTCAATGTTGGAGTAGATATTTGCAGAAAGATTCCCTAATCAAAATGCTCACAGTGTGGTTGTGTATAACTGTATATTGAGGTCTCTAGTGCATATTTGTAGGACGATTGCTGAGCTAGAAGATAACATGTGCTTTTCGGACTTGAATAATGTCGTCTTTGTGATGGGAAGAAATGTAGTGCTACATAAGAATGAATGTTCGAAGTGTTTTCTAGGCACCGTTCGAGTCTTACCTGAAGTTGTAGTTTAGATTCCTGGGATAAACTGACTCTTACTGCTATTCCTTGATATCTGTCTTGGCCATATGCCAATTTTTGTTTTTGTGCATTGACTCTTACTGTCCGGGAAACCATGTATCTTCTACATGCGCTTCCCGGACATGGGGAGGTGGATGTTAATCTCGGCACACTGAAGTTCTGTGGAGTCGGAATTTCCCTGACGAGTGGATGGTTGTATAGTGTATGTGAAAGTTTTTGCATCATAATTTTCATTCTCTTTTTCCCTACCAAAATGTTCTCCTCCACCATTGAAAGTTCTTCAATCACAGCATGCCCTGGTTTCATACCCCACCCTGTCTAAGTATGTACTAGCTCGTTAAAACAGGTGACCATGCAACTGCCTTGTTGCAATTCTGAATTCTTCAAATAAGAAATTGTATCGAGCTTGGCGATAGTCACAACAATAAGCATGTAGAATAAAGAAGTTAGCTTGGTGTTATGTTTGAATGTCTCTCATGTTGGGAGAGTGATGGTCATTGTAGGTTTTTAAGACTGCATTTACCGAATGCCGGTGTGCCAAAGATTTGGGTTTGCTTTTACCTTTTGGGTGTGTTTGGTTTCGTTAAAGTTTGCTTACGATTGTTTATGGTTTTATAATGTTAGGTCCAGGGACAATGCAACTGGTGCTCGCTAGACTGATTCTGCTCAATTCCGGCATTGACCGTGAACATATTAACAGAAATCATGGATTGACATACTCGAAGTTTGGAGTTAGGGAATGAAGCCTTTGGTCCTCGTAGCATAGGTAAAAATTTAATGTAAATTTATCTATTTTAAAATTATTTAGATTATAGAACTATGTTTCAGCTTGTGTTTCATCAGTTCTGATGTTCATGCCATTTACTATTGATCTTAGAATTCTTTTGCTTCCTTTGCATTGTATCAAGTTTGTTTCTTTTTCGAACCGTTCTCGAGTAGTTTACGAGTGTATGTTTCATTGAAAGCTTGCATTCGACAATTAACATTATCGAGGATTTATTTGGAGCAAGCAATATTTTTTTGCTGCTAGAGGAACCTAGGACTCCTACACACACGGGGTCGACCCTAGGGAAATCACTTCAAATCGGCACAATAATTGTACACCATGAAATACCTTTGCACCCATCTGAGTCGCCTTCTGCCACTTGCATCCAATGCTCGAGTTTGCCAAAAATTGTTTCTGGCAAAGCTCAATACTTGCGAAGCGCAATCAGATTTTACATTTGACCAATGTACATGCAAATTCGCTTTGAAATTCTGATATTAAGCCTTGAAAAGAGCGTTGGAGCAATCCGTTTTCACCTGCCCTCCTCTCGTCACCCAGTCCTCTGTGTCCCACAGGCTCGAGTATATCCTCATGGGCTGGTTTTTGGGGAAGGGAGCTCCAATGGATTCTTCATTGTTGAATACTCTGATTGGTATGTTATCTACCAGGAAACTGATGAGTTTGAAAAGAAGAGTTAGTTCATCTTTTAGTTTTTCATTGTCTTGGAGATTTTAAGTTACATGACCCGTCGAGCGATAAGATACTATCGCTTCATGCCGTGTTGGTCTCAAGATGCCGGCGTGACATGTCCCAAGAGAGATAGTACCTTCCCAATTGACGGGTTGTGACGTTTTAGCTTACATAATCCGACGCTGGTTCCAAACGATCGAGTAGGTGTGGAAATGCTCGGTTGGGTCAAACCATAGGTAGAATTGTTGTTCCCTGTCACCTTTCCCTTGGCAGTAAACATTAGTGTGCACAATATAAGGGTCTCCACTCAACTTACCTAAGAATTCAAAGTCTATCTAGTCATGGTTTGGCCCTTCAGAAGATAACTGCAAACAAAAACCCGACATTAGAAAACAAGGTTTAGCTTCAAACTTACTACAAAAAAAAAGACCAAGACAAAGACCTTACATAGAAAGCAGTAACGGTGCCAGCAGAGTTTCCGGCGACAAGCTTGATCTGGATATCTATTCTTCTGAAAAGATACTCTCTTTTAGACCTGAAACCTGAGCCGGAGGCCTTATTGAGAGAGAGCGTAAGAAACTCTCCACCATTGAGAATCTGAGCACGTTGGTCACCCCATGTCAGATCAAACTCTTGATGGAAATCACCGGCCGATGCAACTGAGAAAGAACCAACAAAAATCGAAAGCAAAAGCATCACCGGAAACCGAGAATTTCCCATCTAGAGAGGAAGGACTGTATAATTTGATGTGGGAGTGAATTTGCTGGAAACCCTTTACACCTATATAAATATATAGATATAAATAATAGTGCTGCATAGAAGGCGTGTGACTAGAGCTGTAAATGAGACGAGACATATCGCGAGTTATTCGAGATCGACTCGATCAAGACTCGATAAATACTCGGATCGAATGGACTCGACTCGAGCTCGAACTCGACTCGAGTTCTTAACGAGCTGAAACGAGCTACTCGATATTCGACTCGAAAAGCTCGTGAGCAGCTCGAAAATATAATATATTAAGATTTTATTTAAAAAAATAAATTAATAATAATATTAATATTTATGTATTGATTTTTTTTTTAAATACAGTAAGATTTCATGTATTTAAGGTTCATGTTCGAGTTTGAGTTTGAGGTTTCAATCTAGTTAAGTTTAAGAATCTTTTTTTTCATTTCGAGCCTTTTCAAGCTGCTCACGAGTTTCAGTTCAGGATTTCGGGTTCGAGTCGAGCTTGAAAATTTTAAGCTCGCGAGTTTTCGAGTCGAGTCGAGTCGAGTTCCATTTCAGAGTTTTCGAGTCGAGTCGAGCTCAACAATACTCGAACTCGACTCGGCTCGTTTACACCCCTAGGCGTGACCAGGAACCAAATACAGTGCACAAGTAGCTGGAAACGACACTGCAGTAGCTAAAAACCTGTTTGGAAGCTGAGAATCTGGTGGTAGGCGTTATTAGAAACATTTAGTTAAGGCATTGTCTTTATACTTAACCAAATTAGAATACATCTGTGTATTATCGATTCGAAAATACGCAAGGAGATGCTTGTAACAGTGACAACAACAGTGAGTTGGTGTGATATTAGGGTAATGTTCTGTTAGAGGATCGACTTTACTTGGGGTTATAAAAAGGAGGAATGTAAGGAGGAGAAAGAAGGATGATGATGCTTCAGAGTAAAGGATGAATCCCACACGTGAAAACCAGTTGTTTATTTGCTTTGTAGAACAGGGAAGACGGGGAAAAAGAGGAACAAATGTTGGGTGGTGCGTCCCATTTAACCCGATGTCAACTTTAGATAAAATATTAATTCATGGTTTCACTTTTTTCTATTTCAATCTGTGCTATTGATCTGAGTTTCGAGAGACTGTAATTTTTTTTTTATATTTTCTATCGACAATATATTTTCTTCCTTTAAAATTTTATAAAATTGTCCTTTAAAATTTTATAAATTCATCATCTAAAATAAAATTCTGTATTGGTCCCTATATTTTGTCAATTCTTTCTTCTCCTCAAACAAGCTTATATTGAAACCCTGAGTGTTGTTGATTTGCTTCATCTAAATTTTAGCACGAACAAAGAGTTATCAAAATTTCATCTGGAAAAAGAATTATTGTTGTTCATTAATATTTTGGATTCAAGCATTATGAATATTAGAAGTGTGAGTGTTCAATATCAAATGATTGAGAGTTATCTTTAAACAGACATTGCTATATAATATGAAGAAGAAACTTTACAACTGCTCTTGATTTACTACAAACTGTGTTATTGATGGTCTATGTTGAGAAGGCTAATTGATCTTCATCATGGGTAATCGATTAATTATTGTTTGCACATAAAATTGGGCAATAGTCCATAGACAAAAATAACAGGGCCTGCCCATCTTCCATAAGAAATAAACACTAGATTAATAGACTTGTATATAAATATTTAGCTCAAATTATGCTTTTAGCATATAAACTATTAGTTTTGATATTTTTTATACCAAAACTTTTAATTTCTTTCAAAATCATATTTAAAATTTAATTTTTGTTTTATTTTAATATCACATATTAAAACAGACCAAAATTGATAGTTTATGTACTAAATATGTAGTTTACCCAAATATTTATTATTCTGCATACGATTATTCATTGAATAAATTTTTATAAATTTATTTTTATTCATAAAAAATATAATTAATTTTTATAAATCTCGTTAAACTATTTTTTAAGAAATAAAATAAAATTTAAGAAGGACCAAATTTTAATATATACTTTAAAAATATAATACTTTAAAAATATAATATTCTTTTACTTAATAATTCTTTTATGCAAATAGAAGTAGCTTAAACCAAAAATAAAATAAAATAAAATTAGGCACGTTGCATTTAGACCCTTAATATATAGAGAAAATAATCTCATTGACCAAAAATGCCTTATAATATACGATTTTAACCAACTTTTTTTGGATTTGCCAAAATGACCAACTAAATCGCAATGCGATCGATAATTCGCAACGCGATCTCCGGTATTGCAAATCAGTTTCCAGATTCGCAACGTGAACTTCGACTATCGCAATGCGAACTTGGACTATCGCAATGCGATAGTCCAAGTTCGCGTTGCGATTTATTCCAAATTCGTTGCGATAGTATTGCATTTGTTTCTTAAGAATTTTCTCTAAAAAGATAGTATTCGCGCGGACGTGTCTATTCGCATTGCGATAGTCGAAGTTTGCGTTGCGATTTATTCCAAATTCGTTGCGATAGTATTGCATTTGTTTCTTAAGAATTTTCTCTAAAAAAATAGTATTCGCGCGGCCGTGTCGAAGACACGTATTACCACGACCACGACGACGGCGGCACGCGAGAGTCTCCCTTGTTCTCTATCACTCAACAAGAAAGTGGGAAAGCCAAGCCTTAAACACCATTCCCAATAGTGTTTCCAATACTATGTGGAATTGAGCATTACCAACATTTGTTTCCAATACAATGTGATTATTCAGGAAACAATTAACAATCATGCACCTTAAAACAACTGAATCAGCAACCAATTGCATTAGTATTATACGATTAAATATGTCATAATTAAAATTCAATCTACAATCAATCGCGATTATTGCAATTTTAAGCAAAACATTCAAAAATAATATCACTATTTAAGGCTCAATCTCACATAGTATTGGGAACAAATGTTGGTAATGCTCAATCCCAAATAGTATTGGAAACACTATTGGGAATGATATTTAAGGCTTGGCTTTCCCACTTCCTTGTTGAGTGATAGAGAACAAGGGGGACTCTCGCGCGCCGCCGCCGCCGCCGTCCGTCTCGTCTCGTCTCGTCTCGTCTCGGGTCGTGGTCGTGGTCGTGGTCGTGGTCGTGGTCGTGGTCTCCGCGCGAATACTATCTTTTTAGAGAAAATTCTTAAGAAACAAATGCAATACCACCAGTCGTTACGATTTTGGACTATCGCAACGAATTTGGAATAAATCGCAACGCGAACTTCGACTATCGTAACGAATTTGGAATAAATCGCAACGCGAACTTGGACTATCGCAATGCGAATATGTAAATCGCAATGTGATAGTTAAAGTTCGCGTTGCGATAGTCGAATTTGAAAAATTGCAACGCGAACTTCGACTATCGCATTGCGATTTACATATTCGCATTGCGATAGTCCAAGTTCGCGTTGCGATAGTCCAAGTTCGCGTTGCGATAGTCGAAGTTTGCGTTGTGAATCTAGAAACTGATTTGCGATACCAGAGATCGCGTTGCGAATTATCGATCGCATTGCGATTTAGTTGGTCATTTTGGCAAATCCAAAAAAAATTAGTTAAAATCGTATATTATAAGGCATTTTTGGTCAATGAGGTTATTTTCTCTAATATATATTGTCCAAATATTTTAATCAACTAAAATAAAGGAATGGACCACAAGCACGACACGTGATACCTA